CCCCAAAACCCCAAAACCCCAAAACCCCTTCATATTACTAAAGCAATGAAAATAATATATAATTTTGACGGAAGTAATGATCCTGATGTGGAAGAGAAGTTACTACAACATTTGTTACAGAAGAAGCAGAAAAATACTCATCTAGAATCACCTGAGAAGGAAAGTCTACCAGAGAAAGACAATCCTCCTGATAAGAGTATATGTAAGAAAACTGAGAATGAAGATCCTGAGATTGCGTGTAAGAAGACAGAACAGACTTGTAAGCAAAAAAGCCCTGAAAAGGATATCTTCAATTCCAATATCTTTCAATCACCCAAAGAGAAGGATAATGCACAGATAGTTGAAGATTTGATTTCTTCTACTAGAAAGTTGGAAAGCTTCAAGGCTTGACAAGGTCAAACCCAAACACATATCTACAAGTCTCTTTCATCTCGAAGCGAGCAGGATGCGATTAGTATCATATTGTGCTATAGAGCACAGAGGAAGACAATCCCTTTCATCCCAAGCAATTATGAAGACCTTCGCAGCTACATTCTGCAGAATATAAGGTCAAGGAAGGGGATCCCTGTTCACCAAAGTGACTTTAACATATATTTCTTTGATTATGAAACTGAGAGATGCTACATAGAGTCAGATAATGACCTTGAAGGGGCATATAGACTTGCCTCTCAAGCTACTCCAAAGAACTTAAAGATCTGCATCGATATTGAGAGGGATATCAATAAAGAGGATAAGCAGCATTCTGTACAACAAGAAGAGAGTGACCTTGAATCAGATTCTGATGGTCACGGCCTAGTCAGAGAGCTGTTCGAACTAATTGATTTTGAACTAGACAGATCGGTAATAATTAGAGAAGGAAATGTCTACACAAAATATGATGCTTTTCGTACCAGAGCACATGACCAGACAAATTCAGTCTACACTTGAGTTGATTTCTCAAACTACAGATGTACTGGAAAGTGGGAAACCAAGCCTTTGATGTTTAATGGGGAGTATGGGAGGTCATTTATTCCTCATTCTCTTCCACCAGAGAAGCATACCAACTCTTCCAAAGATGATATTATTAAGAAGTATAATGAGTCCCTACTGACTGGGCTCGATCAGCATGATATCTCACTTGAGAGAAGAGAGATAAAGACTCTTATTAGACAGATTATTGATGAAGATCCTTCCTTAACTGTAAACCAAGTTATTGCAAAACTGAAGATTGTCTTTACCCATACAAAACTTCTTCCTCGACAGAGTATTGTTTCAATGGTAACCCAATCCAGAAACAAAAGATGCGCTCAGTTTTCATTAGATGATGGAGTTGATATCTCCAGATTAAAGACTCTTAGAGGGTCAGCATTTGGGAGAGGCTCTGGAGTAGCACTTGTTGATGGAAAGCCCAAGCATTTCTTATACTTTTATTCAGACTTCCAGCTGAAAATAGCCAAAGAAGTCAAAGATGATCCAAATTTACACCTCTTCATTGACGGAACCTTCAAATGTTGTCCATGAGTCTGGTCACAGCTGCTTAATATATGTGTCTTTCATCGAGGGAAGAATCTTTATTTTCCAATAGCTCATGTATTGATGCAAAGTGAGACCTATGAAGGGTACAAGACTGTGTTAAACTGGTTTAACTCAGAGATAGGCTTGCAACCAAGATTCATCACAACAGATTTTGAACTAAGCTTGATAACTGCTTCAAAAGAGGTTTATCCAAATGCAGATATAGTACCTTGATTCTTCCATTTCACTAAGGCTCTCTGGATGAATGCTGCCAAGCACGGTTTGAAAAAAAGAAATGTTCTTAGCCAAACAAAGCAGTTGATGTTCTCTCTTAAAGCACTTGCGTTTAGGCCTCCTGAGAAGGTTTATAGAAGATTTGAGCTGATCCGGGACAACTACTCACAAAAATCTAATAGCTTTAAATCTTTCTTAGAATACTTTGAACATACATGGATGGACAGAACTTTTAAGATAAAAGACTGGAATTATTACGAAAAGCTCAGTAATTTCGAGGAACTTGCCTTGACCAATAATGGTCTTGAATCCTTCCACCAGATGATCAGGTCTCAACTTAGGAGAACCAAACCAGCTCTCTCAGGATTTGTCGATGTTCTTGGCAGAGTCGAATTGATGAAAAAGACTGATTATGAAGAAGACAAAATCAAAGGTGACCCTCAGTACAATAGGTGATGGCCTAGTTCAGTTATTTTTAAAGAGCTTTACACTAAGGCATGACAAGATAAGCCTAAAGAAGATGGCACAAAGGAAGATTTAAAGCTTGAGGATGAAAAAATTACTCAAGACTACCAGTCAGAAAATCCAAAAGATCGAAATAGTATCAAAAAGTTAGAAAGAGAGGTGCTCTTCCTCTTTGAAGAATTTGATTCAGCCAATACTGCAATGTGGACTGACTCAAGAATCCGTAGAGAGAACCAGATCAGCTATGAAATCCAGCAGGAGTGCAAGACCTCTAAGGCTAATAAGACACAAGGATTATTGAAAGAACCAGATTTGCGTGAAGTTTGAATAGAGAACGATCGACCTCGCTTAATTAAAGAGATGGAGAAAGCCACAAAAGCAAAATACTCAGATACCTATCTCGAAAAAGATATGGTCCCTGGCCTTATCGAAGAGTTTGATGATGAAGAGGAAGCGAGAAAGCTGCTCAAAGGCGAGCTTATTGCCAACTACTGGCCCTTATTTGAACAACCCAGGCAATACAGAAATAAAAGCAACGATAATTCAAAATAATTTTCAATATTAATTCATTTTAACGGGGTTTTGGGGTTTTGGGGTTTTGGGG